ATCTCCGAACCTAAATGCTTGCAGTAGAGCATTAATGAACGACATGGCCGTCACAATGCCTTTATTTTATTTAATATACCATCAATTTTTTGTTTTGTTTTAAAAGCTTACGCATTTACGATTATTTTTTTAAATTACTATGGGCTTTCAGACATCTCCGAGCCTGAATGTTTTGCCGCGTTTTAATTCACTATTTATTTCAATTCATCAAATTAACTCGCTAATTATGAACTTTTTGTTTGTTATTTGAAAAGTATCTCTAAATTATATTTGTTTAAATGAATAACTGAAAGCAAGTAAAGTTTTAACAACAACAAAAAACCCGACTTCATAACTAGAGCAGTGAATGTTTTTGTTTTTGTCATTTAAAGCGACTTAGCGTTTCGAGTGCGATTCTGAAGTAGCAGCATCCTGTTCAGGAATAGAATTTTCAGCTATTTGGACTAAATGGGGTATGCTTAAGGTAGTTTTCTCATGTCAGAAGAATCATCAAAATCTGTTCACCTAGTCGAAAGTTCAATAATTATAAAAAAAATAGAGTCGAATTGAGAACGACCTCCGTTGAAGAACCTAACTAGAGTTTCATCAAAGTACCCTTGAAGCATATCCCTTTCAATAAGAAAAAAAAAGAATCATCGATATAGGTGGGTGTGATATTGAGTTATTCGTCCATTTGTCGCACACATACTTAAAGCTAATTTAAGACTTTTATGGTTTTATCATGACAGAACCGGACCTAATTGAATTTTCAAATAGCAAATGTTCAATAAGATTAAGATCCGGTGATTCGGGAGGCGTTTTAAGAACCACAGCCGTATTCATGGCTGATAAAATTGAAATATTGCTTAGCCCAATTGATTGGCGCTCGGTTTCAAATGGACAGTTCAAAGTTGAATCCATGGTAGTATCGATAAAGACTAAGTCGTTCAATCCATCATGACTACTCCTCCAAAAACTCTCTATACTTATACTGCCTTTTGTTGAAGCTGGACAATTGAAAATGTTGTGCCTGCATATATTTTATCTTCGTATGAATTGGGCCTTTGATTTTGGACTCTGCTAGGGATAAAGACAATGTTGAGAGTCGTCTCTCCAGTCTTTAGAGTGGTTGAGGGCAGGAGAAGGGACGTTGCTCGTCCTGTACATACCCACATACCCATTTATTTGCCGCTCACTTCCTGAGGGAGCTGCAACAAATTGTATTGTCCTGTGCATTGGTAGTAATTGGACATATTATCGGGTATTAATAAACATATTGTAAGGCGGGCGCACTCCATTCGCCATGGGGCTATTAAAAATTTGACAGCCTTAATTAGTTTGTTGGGCAACGAAACGCAATGACTGGCAACTTCCGCTGCAGCAGCAACTAAAACAACAGCAACAGCAACAACAGCAACAGCAACAACAGCAACAACAATATTTCAAGTGCCGCCAATGCACATTCGAGGATTGAACTTGCTGCGGCAAATTGGACTCATTAAATTGGTTCCGCCAAGATGCGTTCAAAACAGGCTGTCACACTGTTTAGCTGTTTTAGCCGAAACATTTACGTGGCTGACTGATCGAATGGCCGAAAGTGTCATTGGCTCAAGCGGCAAGGGCTAGTGCAAGGGAGTCGCAGTCGCAGTCGCACCGAAAGCCGCGACATGTGGGAAATGAGCGATACAGCTATAAAAAAGAAGAGTGCCCGGACTCAGGAAATCGAAAAGACAATAGAATTGTGTTTTTGGCCAACAGCTCTGACCGCTTGGCGGCGGCGTTGCCATAATTGTTGCTGTCGCTGTTGCTGTTGTTGTTGTTGTTGTTGGTGTTGGTCATGGTGAACCGTAACAACAGCAACTGTCGGGCCGAGGAACACGCCGAAGTCAACAGCTTGGCTGCCAGCGCACCAACAACAACAACAGCAACAACAACAACACGACAAGTGCACAACAACACGTGCGTGGGTCGCCGAGCATCGCGTACAGAGTACGGTTGTGCGTGTGCGCATGCGCATGCGCATTCGCGTCCGCGTTCGTTCGTGGGAGCGCTCGAGTTCGTAGGAAAAGGGGCTAATTATGTCTTAATGCCTGCCCTCAACCGGGCCCTGCCATGTGAGCTGCGCAACAGCTGTAAATGAGCTCCTCAGCTCCGCTCCTTCTCCTCCCTCACCACACAATATTCAGGCATCTACTATATACTTGTAGTATGTATAGTATGTATGTACTTGTATTTACATAGGTTTATGTAAATTAGCTGTACATGGCAAATAGAGGCGCAAATGATTCCAAGAAGCCAGAGGCCAGGCCAAAGGCTTGGCTTCGTCTCTGGCCAACTCTTTCGTTTCCATTCACGTGAACAAATGCCGCAAACAAATTTTTCGCTTTTATTTCATTTACATGACCCACAAAACAATTTTCTTATTTTTACTATTTTTGTTGTTATTCTCGTTGTTGGTGTTGTTGTTATTGTTGGTATTGGTATTGGGCAAACATTGCATTATTTGAGCAGGCCTGATTGTTCTTCTGCTTCTTGCTTTATTACATTGCTGTAAACCCTTTTAGCACAGGGCCAAGTGCCGATCTGAGCCACGCACACGCAACATCCTTTACGGCACAACATCCTAAGCCACCGACCAACGGCTCGGCCAATCGACCACCCTTGCCGCTTGCCCCTTGCCGCTGGCCACTATTCACAGTCAACGGTTTGCCAGCCGTTGCTGTTGATTTTTCGCGGTCTAATAAAAACAACCAAAAACCAAAAAACAAAAACGAGCTGAGCCGATCCGATCCGAGCCGAGCTGAGCTGAGAAAAATCATTGCATTTTCCACGGAATTCACTGCGCAACCCTTTACGGCTTCGGCGTTTTCCAACGCCTTTTGTTTTGCCGACATAGCGACACTCCTGTCCGGATCTAGGAAGGGTGTGAGCTGCCTCAAAACAACAAAAATACTCGTACTACTACTCTAAGTATATGATGAAGAGCTAGGCTGCTCCAATAAGCTTCGAAGCATTTCCATGAACGAACGCTACAAGCCTTGAGCGTTAAGCGAAATGGATAGATGAATAAATAAATGATTTTCAAAGGAATTCAAAATTTCTCTATCTTTTGAACAGACCTACATACACCTACCTTCTAGTATTCCCTATTAAACGTACGACCTCTTGGTAAGAACTCTTGATGCACCACGCATTGTAATCGAAACAGTGAGCAAACTTCACATTTTCTTTTGAACAGACCTCGTATGTGTGCAGTGAAGACTCCCTTAATGGACAGCTCTTTTATCCGGACACTCCTCTTAGGCGGACACTTTTTCTATAACATTCGTCTTGGTGCAGTTTTTGGGGCAAGTTCGCATCTCTTGACCGGATACGGACACTATTGTCTCACATTTCTATAATTCTTAGAAAAGCCTCTCTTAGCTGGAAGCTGGACTCCTCTTAATGGACGTTTCAAATGCATGCAAAATACTTTAATTGTAATTAAGTTTAATCATCCGCATTTTTCATGTTCCCTTTATTTCTAATTATGCGATCGACTACAAGATTTTAACAAGCTATCCGAGAACTTCCGCTTTTTAATGATTTAGTTATTTTAATATTACACAATTATAAAATTAGTGCTTGGACTAACTGTGACAACTTGCTAAATAAATTAAATGTGTTACTTAGCTCAAGAATGATTCCATTCGCTAAAGACTATTATTATATTATTTTATAATAATTTGCAGTAGTTAGTGAATATCAGGTTTTTGTTGCTATGGTCGAAGCCAAGCACCAAATTGGGTTTTAAGGGAAAAAGTTGCAACAAGGTTCAAAATATTGATGTTTATATAAATATATATTACATACATCTATTTTTTTTATTTATGATTGGTTTATGGAAGTACTTACATAAATCATAACTGATTCTTTATATTGAATAAAGTCAATCGCCTTATTAGAAAACACAATGAAAATAAGCAATAAATGAAATAAAAACAAAAGTTGGCCGAAGCTGAGTGTCCGGCCAAGGGAGGGTTCACTGTATTTTTACATCACCGTCACTCTCTCTCTCTCTCTCTTTCTCTATTCAAGGCTTGTGCGAATGTTGTTTGTAAAAGCATCGCCATAAAGTATGCACACTCGTATATACATATGTACATATTTGTGATTAGCATAGAAGTAGGTCGGGCCAGGTCCACTTCGACCAAAGTTGTTCGAGTATTTAATAGGCATTTAATAGTTGGCCAGAATGATTGGCTTGGCTCAATGCCAAATGTTTTATCTGCGAAATGTTCCCTAATCCGTGTCACTATTCATTCTCACGGTCGCGGCTTCCGCTCGCCCCGTCCGGTCCCTAAAATTTGTTGTTATCGCTTCGCAAAACTTTTGACCACACGGCGAGCGATGATTCAAGCAACCCAGGAGGCAGCTACATACATACATATGTATATATGTACATACATATGCGCGAGTATTTAGGCAGCCAACCCGTCAGATCAGTCGGCGAGCAACTCGGCTACATCCACATTATTTATAAGTTCTCGACTAATCAGCATGAGACAGCAGAAAGCGGCGTCAAGTGTTTTTGTTTTTATAACCGACGATTGATTTTGAACTTTGCTGCCGGTATGTCACACCTATACACACACACGTACATACATACATCTGTATGGCAGCAACAACCGCCCCCGCATACCCTCCTGAGGCTCACAAAGCTCCAATGATGACGCAGGCGATCAGGCCACCGAGAGCGAGAGTTCTCGTTGATAAGCTATCGGGCAAAAGCGGCTAAAAAGAATGTCAAGACAAGACAAGCGAGCTATATTAACAATACAAAAAAAAAAAAACGACAACAGCAACAACAACAAAAGCAGTCGAAGAAACAAGAAACTAATTATTGAAAGCAATGACATAATAATAAAAAAAACAAATAGAGGGGCGCGCGTAAATGAAGAACAAAAGTACATTGAAAAAAAAATTTATTTCTGATAATTGCCGAAAGTACAATATTTACATGCGTGTCTCTCCCTCTCTCTCTCTTGCTCCCCCTCTCTCTCTCTCTCCCCCCTGCGTTCTCTCTCGGTGAATGTGTTGGAGTGTGTGTGTGTGTGTTTGCGTGTGAATGGGCATGGGCGTGGGCGTGGCTGCTGTGGGTGACCTATGGACATGAGTGAGTGCATAGATGTACATACATACATGCACACATGCATACATACAAACATACCGATGTACATATGTATGCATACGCATAGTGCATAGTATATACTACATACTCGTATGTATATACATATGTACATATGTATATGTGGCTATAAGCAGTCAACGACCTTCAAGTAGATGCTATGCTCACTAGAGAGCAGCGCAAATTTCGAATCGAAGGTGATGCGCTCGACAGTCTTCTCGCAGAACTCCACCCGATGCTGACGCAGAAAGTATATGAGTCCCAGTTTGATTTGCAGCTGGCCTATGAGCATGCCAATGCAATTATGTGGACCGGCTCCGAAAGGCAGATACGACATGGGCGTCTGCCGCAGCTTGTTCTCGGCCGAGAAGCGTTCGGGGTCGAAACGTTCCGGGTCCGGCCAGTACTGCAAATGGATGGATATGGGAGATATGGGATGGGAGATATAGACATTGGAGACCCTCTCGCTCACCTTGGGATCATGATGTATGGCCAGATTGGATATAAAAACTGGCATGCCACGTCTGGCATAGCATTCCACATGTGGTCGCAGGGAATAGAAGCGTTTCTTATTTATGGGCGTGCATTCGCGTTCGAGTAACGGCACTATCGGATACTTTCGCAACGTCTCATCCACAACCATGTCCAAATACTGCATGTTCATGATGCGCTCGTAGCAGAGACCCTCGCTGGGGCCCGCCGCCGCGAAGGCCTGTCGTATTTCTCGCCGAAGGCGTGCCTGCATCAGGGGCTGCTTCGCGAGCTCGTAGAGAGCAAAGGACATCGTTGCTGCACAGGTTTCAATGCCTGCCACCTCGAAGGATGCCGCCTGGGCGGCCAGAAAGTCCTGCTGATGTGTGAAATGGGTCTTATCCTGTTGCAGATCGGCCTCCTTCTTCAGTGTTAGCAGCATTTCAATGAGATCATTGCGTAAATCGCCGGACCGTTCGCGTTCCTCAATCACAAGCAGAATGACGCGCCGCAGGAACTCGGCGTGTGCCTCCGTAAATAGCTTAGAGCGTAGCAGAGGCACAAATTTTGGCAGAAAAAAGATCACAAAGAAGTCAATTATGCGCCGCATATTCGGCATAAATATGTCCTGACAATGCGATCCAATTTCCGATTGCGTGTTTCGAAGACTATATGATCGGAGGCCGAACGCAATGCTAGCTATCATGTCGGTGTTGTAGAGGTCGCAAACATCCTTAATGTGGACAACGACCCCCGTGCCTGCCTCCCCTCGACGCATGTCACGCATAAGACGCTTTAAGTACCATTCCAGATCACAGCCAATCTGTAGATGGGAGCGAATATTAATAGTAGATCGAGACCTTTTCAACGATTCATTGTTTTTCAGATTAAGACGAAGATGATGTCGACATTAACGCTATTTGTGCACTTTTTAGTTAATAGTTCCTTCTTTTTTTTGCACAAAGATAAGTCACATTAACAATCAGTCTAGACGGGAATATCGATATCATCTTGAATATTTTCACCTATGTATGCACATACATATACATACCTCCTCCATGAGAGAGAACATTTGCTTGATTTTGGCGCCCGTAAATGCCGGAGAGAGCCGTGTTCGTATCTCACGCCACTCCGGATTCTTGGCAAAGAACAAATTGAGAGCTCCCATTTTGTCGTGCCGCAAATCGCATTTGGCGAAGCGGTTCGAGAAACTCACGAAATCCTCGACGAGCACCGTCCGCACTAATTCCAGATCCCGAATGAGCAGCGCCGGCTGATGGAACAAATAAATGCCCACGACGGCTTCATTGCGAAAACTGTCGTCGAAGTAGAAACGACGCAGTTGCAGGGCAAATGACTCCTCCAGTTTAAGGACCTTCTTCAGATTTCCCAATATATGGGTAGGCTGCACGAACTTGACGCGCCTTCGCTGCCAGTAGACATAGGTCCGACGTGACCAAATGAATACTGCGGTTAGTATAGTCACAATGCCCAGCAATATGTTGGTAGAGTATACCATTTCGTTGTTTGTTGTGGTGTCTGTTATTGGGGGCTGGGACTGGGGCTGAAGCTGACGCTAGTGCGGCTATTGTGGCGGCCTCAGTCAAAAGAATAACAACAACAGAGCGCTGAGCAGACACTTCGAATTAAGAGAGCGTGGCGTTCCGTGAGCGAACAAACAAACGACTTGGTAGTGAGAGAGCGGGCTGCGGGGCGGCGGGACGGCGGTGGCGGTAACAGTGGCAGCTAAGAAGGGAGAGAGTGAGAGCGCGCGCGTGGGTGGGAGCCAGTGCCAACAAACGTAAAAACCGAATCGCTTAACTCGTGTATATGCGCCTGCAGTTGCCGCTTTTGTGCATTAAATACATTAATAAATAAATACTTAACAAATTATATCACAATTGGCTTCCTTTCCCAGTAAGAAACCGTAAGACGATGGCCACGGCGACAACAACGACTGGAAGAGCAAAACAACAGAAGAACAGAACAACAAAACGGGAAAAGAAGCAGAACAAAATGTGCTACTCTGACGGTGGCTGCGGTTCTGACTGTTGTTGCTGGCAGACAAGCTGTGGTGACGACGACGACGACGGCGGTGGCGCGGCAGAATTAAAAAAGAGAGCGCATAAGGCATACAAACATTTGTATATATGCACGTATGTACATATGTATGTATGTATGTGCACGCATTCGCACACAAATGCAGAATAACAAAAACCAAAGAAACACTGGCAGAATACAACAAAAGAAGAAAGAAAATAAATGCCAATAACAGCAAATAACACAATTCTTCACATATAAAAAAATACAAAAAATAATAATAACAACAAAAAAGCGTGCTGGCAAGCTCCACAAATCGACTCGACAAACTGACTGACTGACTGGCCCACTGAATTCGTCAGAAAAGCGACGCGCTTCTGATTACATATCAACAAAAAGCCACTTTGGGGGCAGCAGAAGCAGCAACAGTAACAGCAACAGCAAAGAACACTTCAAAACCCGCCCCCGCCAAATAAACCCAAACACACATTTGTGTGAGCGCGCAGGGAGAGTGCTGCTCAGAGATCGCGACTTAAAGCTGTTCGCTTCGCAAAACGTGCTGCTTGACTGAGCTGAGCTTTGCACATGCGCCAGCAACTACATAGTCTGGCAGCATCAGCAGCAGTAAAAGCTGTAGTGGCGGCACACTGGGCCTCACTAGCGCAGAAAGTTTTTTTTTTTTTTTTTTTTTAATAATAAATAAATAGTTTATTTATTTATTTAAATCAACAAGTGGATCTGTCGATTTATTCAATAACAATATATAAGTATTAACATTTTATATATATATTAAGATTTAAAATTCAAATATGATTAATATAACATAGTCACAACTTAAAAGATAAGAAAGCCTACGAAAAAGCTGTACAATAACGTCTATAAATAACGTTTTACATTATTTTTATACCCTGTACCCAAAGGGTACAAGGGTATATTAGTTTTGTGCGAGTGCACATGGAACACACAGAAGGAGGCTTGGTAGACCCCACAAAGTATATATATTCTTGATCAGCATGACAAGCCGAGTCGATATAGCCATGTCCGTCTGTCCGTCTGTCCGTCTGTCCGTCTGTCTGTCTGTCTGTCTGTCTGTATGAACGCAAGGATCTCCGAAAGTATAAGAGCTAGAATAACCAAACTTGGTATACAGATTCTCCTGAGACCGAGAAAGGACGAGTTTGTTCATTTTTTCTGATCCACCCCCCCACTCCCCCCCTATTAACGATTTTCTATAACTCCCGTAATTCTTTGAATTTTGAACTGAAATTTGGTAGACACATCCAGTTAGTAATTGTATATCCGTATACCAAGTTTCATTATGATAGAATGATTGGAAAGAAAGTTATAGCCATATAACCAGGCCCAATGCACACATACATACATATGTACAGTACACAAACACGCATAAGGCACGATTCTGATGTAAATGTAAATGTATCTATGCATGCATGGAATATTTAGTTAATTAATTAAATTAATTTAGTTAATTAATTAAATTAAATTAATTAATTAAATTAAATTAATTAATTAATTTAATTAAATTAATTAAATTACTTTTTTGTGGGGTGGTACAGGGTATTTAAGAGTTGAGCCTGCTCGACTTTAGCATTCCTTTCTTGTTTTTGTTTATGAAATTATTATCGCATATATTTTTAGCTGTCTGCGATGCACTTTGATTTTTTATTTTTATTTATGAAAAAAGTATACACAACACTAAATAAATTAAATGATTTCCTCATGGTTCCTCTGTCTAAATTGGCATTGGATTTTATAACGATTATAAACAATAAAATAAAAACTCACATCGCATTGGTGACAACAATATACCAGTCTGGGAGTACAATTTAATTGTGCTGTTTATGGTTAAATAATGTGCTATAATAATTAAACGCAAACAAAAATCATAAACGTACTAAACATACACACAAAAATTTCAATATCTATTACAAATTTTGTTGGGCATACCTATTATTCTGACCAACCGAAAACATTTGTATTTTTTTGATTAACCAAAAGCTACGTTTTTTGTATACTTTGTATTTTATTTTCGTAACGACAAAATCAAATCGTAAACTGCAATACCCTCCACATAAGCAATGCTTGTACATACATACATAGTTTGTAAACATTGCTCATGTTTTTTATCAACAAATCTCATTACGACGTTGGCAATAAACATACGTGTACATTTACCCTACATTTTTTGATAAGTACTTATTGGCGAAGTCAGACCAACTGTGCGGCAAAGAAGTAGTACATGCATAAAAAAGTATACATACACATGTACATACATCTATGGTACATGCATGTATGCATGAATAACCGCAAATAGCAAATTAAAGTGCTTATTAAAAACGAACCAGCAACAAACAGCAGATACAAGAATAACAAACATAGCAGCCAGCACTCGCCTCCACGTGACGAAACTGTTTACAAAAACAAACTACAACATTGGCGCTCCACTTTTGGCGCTCGTTCGTGCTCCAAAGCTTTCGCTTTTATCATGTTCTCTCTCCCTATCTCTCTCTCTCCCAATGCTGGGCGAGCGACATATTTTTATGTTTAACGAGCGCGTGAGAAGAGCACACGAAGAGTTATAAATAAACTCGAATGCAAAATTGTCTCTCTATGTTCTCTGGCTTCCTTTTCTTCCCTTTAGCTTTAGCATTTCTTTGCTTCTTTGCTGCCTCTTTAGCTGTTGAAGCCCCATGAACGCTTATCAATACATACCGCAATCGACCAGGGCCGTACAATGCGCATTTTTCTTAAACGATTCTTAGTTGCGACGCTGCGAGTGCACGAAGTTCAAAAACTACTCGCGCTTTCCTATATACCCTCTCTTAAATACCCTACAGTCGCGCCCAAAAACAAAAAAGGCATAAACAATGTTAGAGCTATACCTACGAATGTTAAATGAAAATATTAAAAACAAGTATAGCACGTATTTGTCTATGTGTATCATGTACATACATATATGTGTGCAGTAAAGAAGTTGAGTCAGAGCAACAACAATAGTTTTGGCAGAGATTGCATAAGTTGCCATAGCTTCCTTTAGAATTAACCGATCTCAATGACATTTGGCACAAAACCATTAATCGCATGCAATTGTCAAATGGGAAGAAATTGCAAAAAATGTTGATTTTTTTTATATTCGATTTTATGCTGTATCCACAAATTCATGAACAGTTTTAGGTATACATGTACACGTGCAGAAAATTTGAATAATTTTAAGAGTGCGTGACACGCAGCTGCGGACAAAAACATGCCCACCTCTACCTCCAGGTAGTAAAACACTTGGTGTCTCTGTTATCGTCCGGTAATTAACAGCGCAACACTTTTTGTTTGTCTAGCTGTTAAAGTATAGAGAGCTAATTACTGATAGAGCTAAGTTGAGTGCTGATTTTAGAAGTGAGAGCTTTTCAGCTTAGTACTTATATATGTATATACGTTCAGTTATCAGCTGAAATGGGCTGAGAGCCGTCTAGCACTCTCAGCGTGAGTCGCTTGTAGGCCCAGAAACCGCAAGTTCGATGTTTAAACTTCGAATTCAAATCGGTGCTCTGAGCGCAGGCGCGAGGGGAAAACAATATCAAAGCTTTTCCAAACGAAAATGAACTATAATAAATTTTATTGATCGATTTAAATGTAAATACAAGTAGGTATATGTACATACATATGTATGTAGAGAACAAGAAAAAAAACGTGTTTGTAAAACGAGAAGTTGAGTGAAAATCAGTAAAAGTTCCGCTTTAAAAAAGCATTTATTTAAAAGTTTTAATAAGCTTCAGCTCGAAATTTTAATTTATCTTGATGAATTGTAAGAAAAATATTACAAGTATAATAAATAATACAAATAAATATATGTATATTGCCGTTTGTTTCATAAATTATTATGCACAAGAAAACCCCAAACAATATAACAAATTCGGTACAATTATTATTTTTGTCAAAATTTTTTTCATGAACTCGAGCCAATTCAATGCTTGTATGTATATGTATATGGAAAATCAGATCGCTTTTGGTAGAGTTCGAGGAAATACCAGAACATACCGATTTGGGGTTTCAAAATATGTGATAGCTCGACTTTGTATTTATTTTGTTAATTCATTTGGACACATGCAGAATTCAAAAAAAGTACAGGACTAGCGTTCGAAACTACTAAGTGAAGAATCTGAGCTTAGACGCCAAAATTAAGAGAGGGAAAACGAACTCCAGATGTGTCCTTTACTTAGTGGTGCCATCAGACGGTCCTCAGCTGATAGGGTACAAGTGTAAGCCTAAATGTCCAGTGTAAGGAGAAAGAGGTGGGGAGTCGGCATGTCTTTGGCATTTAGGCATTTGCATATTTTTCCGAAGCATCCTGGCAATGAAAGCAAGGTTAGCAATTTTTTATGAATCAATAGAAATTAAATAACTGCTTCGACCTTTTTACTCTAAAGTTGGTTTTCAATCTAAAAGCAGCTCTCATTCAAAAAATTACATATTTTTTTTTCCCCGCCGTTTTTGTTCATCTCGATTGCAATTATATTAAATAATGTTTATATACAGAAATTGATCATTTATTGAAGAAAACAAATTTTCAACTTTTAAAATTGCTCACAATGTCGCACGGACCAAGACTATCTAATATATTGTAGTTCCAGAATAACAAATCTTATTGTTTTAGCTTGTTTTTTTTTATATTTTTATTGCAGTCAAAATCTGTATATGAACACATTTTCATTATTTTAAATTTAATTGTTCCCTATTTTTGCAAATGTTTGTATTGGAATGATTTAATATGAGTTATTTTTTTTAGATTGGCAAGGGAAACCTTTATAATTTTATTATTTATATTATTCATCAATGATTCTTATCTAATGTTTGACTTGAAAAAAATGGCTAGAAAATGGTTATCGCTTTCTGTTATTGAGCTGGAAACCTCGCTAGCAAATGGCCAGAAAATCAATTATAAGTAGCTAGAGAAAGGGTAGTAAATCCGCTTAAAATCGGTCCAGATAATGTCTAGAAAACTCACTAAAATTACATAGAACAAATTATATAGAAAACCAGCCGTCTCTGATAGCTGCTGATCAGCTGGATCGGAGAGCCTCTACTTCACATTAAAAATGTTTCTGAAAACCCCTAAAACCAGAAAAGGGTGGCCACCCTTAAAAATGAAGACAGATTGTACCGTTAGGTTCATACACGCATTATCATATTACAACTGATTTTTGATTATAGTCATGATTTCAATTTCGTCAATTTCGTCAATTTCGTCCATTTATGTGCGCCTGTTATCGTACCATTGGTTTCGTTACAGAAAAGGTTGCCGATCCAGCATTTGAAACTCTCAAATAAGAAGTTTGCCTTCAAAATTGGCCAAAATAATCTTGGCCCCTGGATTCAATTCTGGCTACTCCCAGGGCTAAACTAAATTTCATATCAATATTAAATGTACACCTAATTCTGTTTTTACACGGTAGATTGGT